AGTCCCTGCAAGAGCGCTGCTGAAGTGTGAACAAGCGATCCCGCAAGCGCTCTTGGAGATCATCAGGCTCGAATTCCTCACGCAGTGCTTGTTCGAAGTCGACAAGAGTCCTGAAGCCACCATTGACTCGCCGTGAAGCCAATTCCTGGTACCAAGCTGCAGCCTGTCCTTGGAGGTTCGCCACAACCATCGCAAGACAGCGCGCTTCGACCACTTCGTTTTGCTCGTAGTTCAAGTTCTTTGCCATGAAAAAGGTCTTCACCCGGTGAATGTACAGCCCAATGCTTTCATTAAGGTGCCCATGGTATGCAGGCATAGACAGTCCTTCTACTCGTCGTTCCGTGTCCCGTTGCTGTTCGACCGGTTGTTGGTTCGCTAGTTGGTTCATTGCATCCTGCAACTGTTGATGTAAAAGCAACTGCTGCTCTTGATGCGCTTGCTGGTCCCTCATCATTTGTGTGTGCGTCTGTGCTTGAGCTTCTAACAGCTGATTGATCATCTTCTGCTGCTGCTCCATCGCACCCATCATACGCACAAACGCTTCCTCCATATTGTAGAAAAAAGAAGTACTTGATTAAGGATTAGCAAAAAACTCGGCCAACTCTTCTTGTTCGCTGAGCTTCGGTTTCTTCTCTACAACCGAGACCGGTTTTGGCAAAAGTGCGCTGTTGATTTCTTCTGCCAAAAAACTTGACGCAACTGCCAAATTTGTCTGGACTTCAACGATTTTGTCCAAAACGCACTTAATCCGGATACTTCCGACTGTCCCGTTAAGTCGGACCAGATCCCGCTTGAAACGCTCGTTGACTCGCTGGGTTGCTTGGAGCTTCTCAATGAGGCTCTTTCTTATCGCGTCCAAATTCTCAACGTCAGGCTCGTCGAGATAATGGATAGTCTTAAACGAAACTAGACGGTCAGGTACTTGATTAGCCTTTCGCTTAAGATCGTTTCGCTCGCGCTTGATTTCGCGTCCACTCGCAACCGCTGCTTTCGCCGCCTTCTTGAGCTTCTTCTCCGCCGCCGCCTTGTTCTTGCCCATAAAATGGGGGTCCGGTGACAATAAACTTCACACGCAACAAATGTCTATATTAGCTGTCGACTCAACCTCTACCGACCCTGATGCCGGATACTAAGGAGAGTACCGTCGTAATAAAAGAGCACCTGAGCGATCCCTAACTCAACACTAGCCGCCGTGAAAGGTCGCAACTGAACCTTCGCCTGAGCTAGATAGAGTAACCTTACAACCTACGAGCTATGCCCCTGGAAGTAAGTCCTTGTTGTCAACCGTGAGTGCTACCAACTGTAGGGAGTTGATAACGCAGAGGAAATTGTAAACTGATTGATTGGCGTTATCTACATCTACATGCATGACTACTGTGACTATACTATATCTAATGCTATACATACGTGCGCTCTGCAGAAGGAACTTCTGGTATCCATGGCCGAGCACACCGCACGCCAATCGAGCTTGGTCGTAAACTGACGTCAACAGTGACGTCTGTTCTGATTGGTCGATAAATCCTATGACGCCACTGGAGTGACGTCGTTAGAAACTGCCATACCTGTAATGACAAAGATTCACCGAATGCATCATGTATGATCTAACAATAAACAGCAATTATACCGGTAGTTGAGTTATGCGCAATGTTCCAGCAAATGCTCGGCATCCACAAGAGTAATTTCACCACAGCTATCAGCATTGGGGGTGGGGAATTCACTACTGTATTACTGTCAATCATCAAAGCTAGCAGCAAGTTATGCGTTGCATAGTGTAATGCACCGCATATCTTGCTGCTGGCTTTGATGATTGCCCATCACACGAACAATGTGCAGAGCGTCAAGTGGAACCTGGACATGTCGATAATCCTCACCAGTGCGTCGTTCTATGGCAGCCTCGTCGTGCTGGACGGCCGCGCTTCAAGCGTTCTCCAATTTCTCGCTCTCGACGGACGTCATGTCGATGGTACGACACCCCCACAACCCCAGCACCCTCGTCTCACCTCGAAGGAGGTCATGACCGTGATCGTATACGACGTCCGGAAAGGCCACTCGGCGCCGTTCCACCGGTACCAAGCACACTCGACCGTGTCGGCCTTCGACCCGACAAACCGAGCTGCATTGATGATAAATGCAGCTCGGTTTATCCGGTCGAATGAATGTAAATTTACATATGGCATACATGCATTACGTCGAACGAAAGTGCAAGGCGACGTAGTTGACACCCACATGCATTACGTCGACGACTACGTCGCTTAGGCTTCCTCGCTTGCGACCACGACGAGCCCAGCCAGCTCCTTGGTATGAATTTTTCGAATGGTTGGCTCCATCGTGTATGAATTGATTGAAAATATGCCTAACCTTAAATGGAACTCAAGTGTACGTTGTCCTTGGTGTGCGTTTTGTCTTTTGCCAGGGTATCAACCCACTCCTGAATCCGAATTTGATATCATTGTTGCATCAGAAGCCAATCAGGTGGTGTAAGGTACCTACCCTATATTTTAATAACTGTCTTCCTGTGATACCTTTAAAAACGTATGCGCCAGAAGGGTTCACTATTGCGGGGGAGTACTGTACTACAGTACTATTACTAGTACTGTACTTCCAGTAGTACATTAGCCAGTAGCTGTAAGCTACGGGTAGGGGTAGCGAGCTTCACAGAATAAGCTTACTAGTAAATTGGAAAGTGATTAGATTGTCGTGTTAAACTACGAAAATGTATACTAAACTTCAAGTTAATGTTTTTCCTTGCCCGTTCAATCGTTACAGTAGCCCTGCTTTATCGGGGAATTGTACTTCAAGACACAAATTAGTTTGTCATTTCATCATTATTCAAATAGAGTGTATTCAAACTGACAAAATAAACTGACAAAATACCCCACAGTTCGCCAAAAAAGTAAGACGTTTTTGTAATGCAGTGACCCTTTTCCAAAAAGAGATTGAGGTATTTCCAATGGATGGCTTCGGAAACCGGCGCAAACTATATTTGTGTCGGGTCAATCATCCGGAATTAAAATTCAGTTGCAGCGCAAAAATTGATGAGACGGAAAAAGCGTCTCATCAAAAAAGAACTGGTGGTGGCACAAATAGTACGGATAGTCATTCGGAAAAATCATCCATGAAGCGCTGGAGATGGATGGACGTACTTGATGACGATGACGACGACGACTCTACGCAGTCCATCGCTGCAATAAGGCTGTACCGGGCAAGAGTCTCAATCAAGGAGAGGCACTACCTGACGTGCGACGCCTTAATCCCGCCCGACAACAGTCCATGGATGATAATATACGCATCCATGAAACCAAGTTCTTTTATCGCTACCGTCTCCATCCCCCCGGACGCCTTCCACATCCTTCTGCAAGAGTTCTCCAAGCACTACCAGTGGAAGTCCGGCTTCGGCAAACCTGGTCGCCCGCCCAAACTGAGCTGCAAGCACCAAGCCCTTGCATTGGTCTTGCACTTTTACACTGCCGCAACCGAGCAAAAGACCCTGTGTGAGATATTCGGCATTCCGCCGTCAACATTCTCCTCAACCCTCGCCAAGGCAGAAGAAGCGTTGTTTCATGCTCTGCAGCATGTGGCGGATGCTGAGGTGCGGTACCCAAGCAAGTCAGAGCAGCGCAGATGGGCGCTACAAGTTGCCGCAAGAGAGCCTTTGGTCCACGGCGTCTGGGGCTTTCTAGACGGAAAGAACTATTCAGTCAAGAGTCCATCATGTTCTGACCTACAGAATGCGATGTACAACGGTTGGTTGCACAGCACCTTTGTCACTGGAACGTTGCTCTTTGGCGTGGACGGTACTATTGTGTGGGGTCGTCACAACTTTGCTGGTAGTTGGAACGATGGCGACACGAGCCTCAAGCTGCAAGTCAAGCTTTTGGATGAACGCCGTACGGCTGTGGGGACCGGTGTCGTGGCGGACTCTGCCTTTCCCGTTCGCGATGGTCTGCGTGGCAAGATAAGGACCCCACTGAAGTGCGGCGACCTCGAGCGCGCATCCCCAGTATGTCGGGAAGGGCTCTTGTTGTTGAGCAACGCAATAACAGCCCTGCGTCAGGCTGCGGAATGGGGAATGGGTGCAGTGGAGAAGGTGTATCGACAGTTGCTGCTGCCACTGCCATTTGACCCAACCCTGCGACACAAGCGCTTGAGCAACATGTACAAGTTGTACAATTTCCGCGTCCGCCGAACTGGTATTAGTCAGATCCGATCAACACTTGGCTAATTTTATATCTTCCTAATTTCAGTTCCTTTTTTTTAATTTAGAGTAAGATATTAATCCTAACCGAACGGATATCCTCGAAAGATGTTATGTTATAGTATGCAACAGAACTCCTAGTTTCGTCGAAATCCGGTAAGATTGGGAATGACAGTCAATTTTCTACATTCCTAAATGTCAAATGAGGAGTAGTAGTCCTCTTTCTGCCTAGTTGAACACAAAACAGATTAAAATATGTTAATTTATATTGTACATGTCATGAAATCGCATTATATTATGTCCTATATAGTAAACCTCCTAATCAGGTAACATGACTACTTCTCCAGAAACTTTGACATCAGAACAAGCATGACCTGGTCCATCTTAGCTTGGCGCTCTTCACGTTGGGCATCAAGCAATTCTTGCCGTGCAATCCGAGCGTCTTCTCGTAGACGTACCCGCTCCTCACGCTCCTCAGCTAAACGCTCACGGAGAAGGCGGCTTTCTTGCTCCCGCACGCTCTGACGTTCTTCCATTGCAATCATGGCTTCCAGCATTGCTTGACGGGAGTCGCGGCTTTCAAATATCAAACGCCGCTTGATCGCCTCATTTTCCGCTGACTCGGACAGGATCTCGTCGATACGGCGGCGACGCTGCGCCGTTTGACTTGCCATAGTCGAACCCGTTGTACCGGCTAGCGCCGAGAGTTGGGTAGGATCGAGTCCAGTGCGAGGAGTGGCAAGGACTGGGGTTGGTACTTGCTCGGGGGTTGGCGGTGTCTCGTCATCGTCGTCATCAATGGGAGCATGTTCGCTGTCCTTGTCTGACTCCATGTCAACGACCGCCATACGACTTTCAATCAGGCGGTTGATGCGCTTTGCTCGTACTACTTCGACTGGGCAATCTGGGTCCCCAGTGGGTTTTCGAACATTTTTCAATGTCTTGAACTTGCGCCGAATACTGTCAGAGTCTCGAGCTATCCAACTTGGTTCGGAGAGCGTGTTGTACTGGGACTGTACGGTGTCCCAGTGGTTTCCACCAAGCGGCTGGAGCCGTTCAATACAGTCCAAAAGGAGCATGGTTTCGGGGGTGCTCCACCCTTTGCCTCGACCTTTGCCTTTCGGTGGCATGTTTTCAATGAATGGTGGATTTCGTCTCAAAGCGATGTACCTCTATGACCAATCATTTGATGGCTTCGGAAACCCATATATAAGCCAGTTTCTGTAGCCCTTTTGCACTTTGGTTAAAATAATACTCATGACAGATTCGGATAAATTTGAGACAATAAAGGACTATTTATAGTTTGTGCCGGTTTCCGAAGCCATCCAATGGTCAATATTGAAGAAATCCAAATTCTTACCTAATTGTATTACTTTTTTACTCTTGACGAACGATTCACCCTCCAGTCAGTGGCCAATTTCAAACAGTATGTATAGCAAGGGCACATTCGTGCATGAATTCTATCCACATATGTAGTAATACCTCCTTGGTATTTCAAATTGCGATGGATACAGTTCCAGTAGCTCGTTCATTCGTCCCGACCTTGTTTGGTCGCTTTGTCATTCTTCAATATGCCAGCCCTGGTCGAATAGGCTTCCTCAACAAATACGAACAATAGAGCCGGCCACAAAGTAGAATTATCTCCGCGGAATTGTACTTCAACAGCTGGAGATACTGTACACATCATGGTAGAGTACGTTCTTACGAGAGGCCGCGAATTCTATCTACCTGATATCTCCTGGGTATCCCAAAATGCGATGGATACAGTACCGGTAGACCCGTCATTCGCGATCTTGTTTGGTCGCTTGGTCATTCTTCAATATCCCAGACATGGTCAAGATCATTGTGGCTACCTTGTCCGCCGGTGTCGCGTCTGCTTTCGGCACCATCTCCGAGTTTCCGATAGAACTGACCAGCCTCATGGATCAAACCGTGGATCCGTGCACCGACTTCTTTTCGTATTCGTGCGGGACGTGGTACAATAAGACCATCCTCCATGCCAACCAAAGTACTACTACTATCCGTGCGAAGCAGGCCGTGATCATGGCTTCGGTGGGCAAGCTGGTCGAAAAATTGTTGAAAGCCAAGGTGCCCAAACTCACCGAGTTCTATGACGCGTGTATGGACACTGCCACTTTAGACACCTTGGGCTTGGCTCCCATCGAAGATCACCTCAAGGCAATCCGCAGCGCCAACTCGACCGTCGAAGCCATTTTTCGCGGCGCAACCATCTCCATGGCCACCGGCGTACCGCTGTTCGTGAAGCTATCGCCCTTGCCCAACGCCGTCAACTATACCCGCACCGCCTTGTATGCCGTACACCCAGGAATGCCGTTTGACCCAAAATACTTCCACGAACCATTGTGGGCCGATGTTGAAAAGCCGTACCGCAAATACATTGCCACGCTCTTCACGCTGGCCGGCCACGCGGAGGTGGAGGGGGCTATTGACGACATGATTAAGTTTGAACGCATCATTGCCGGGGTAGACCTGCCCAAGCGTAGGCTCCAAGAGGCTGCGTTTTCCGACAACGTCCCATATCCGCTCAGCGTCATCAATGCGTCGTACCCATTGGGTCTAGGTCTCCCATTGCAAGCGTTTGGGTTCGACGTCTGCGAAGGGTCCAACACCATCTTGCTGGACGACCATTATTACTTAGACTTCTTAGAAGGATTTCTCCGCAGCATGTCCGTCGACGCCCTCAAGACGATCATCGAGTACAAAGTGCTCGACTTCAACGCGCGGTACCTGTCAACACCGTTTGTGAAAGCTCGTTCGGCCTTTTATGACATGGTGATTGAAGGCCTCAAAGAACTCCCGTCGCGGTCCACGATCTGCCGCTATCAGGTGCAGACGTCCATCGGCGAATTGCTCGGCACGTACTACCTCAAGGAAGTGTGGACGGCCGACATCGCCGCGCGCGCCGAATCGCTCGTGCTGGCGCTGAAAGCGGCCCTCAAGACTGGGCTGGAAAGCGCGGAGTGGCTCGATGACGCCACTCGGACCAACGTTACGACCAAGATGTCCAAGCTGTCCCACTTCTTGGGGGGGCCCAAGAACCCCCAAACGTACTCCGCCTTGACCTTTGACCCCAAGGCGTACGTTGGCAACCTGAATAAGGTGTCTGCATTCGACACTGCGTTCAACCTCGCTAAGATCGACACTGCCTATGACAAGCAGATTTGGTTACCCCCGTTTACTGCCCAAACCGTGAATGAGTACTACTTCGCGTTGACGAACTTGATCGTGTTTCCCGCCGCCACCTTGCAGCCCCCGAACTTCGATGTCAAGGCAGACCCGTCCGTGAACTATGGCATCGTTGGCTATATGATCGGCCACGAAATCACCCACGGCTTCGACAGCCGTACCACCAACTACGACAGCGACGGCAAGATTAATCCGTTGTGGTCGGCTACCGTGGTGAAAACGCTGGAGGAAAAGGCCAAGTGCTTCATCGAGCAGTTTGGATCCATGGACGTCAAGAGCGACGTCACGGGTGATTTGCTTGGCAAGTTGGACGGTAAATTGACGTTGGGCGAGGTCATCTGTGACAATGGGGGCCTGAACGCTGCGTATCGGGCGTACCGAGACCACGTGAACGCTGTGGCCGATGCCACTAAGTATACCAAGGAAGCAGGCGAAAAGATGTTTTGGATCGCACATGCCCAATTGCGGTGCGAAAAGGTCAGCGATGTGTTCCTCCGGATTCATCTCGCTGACCCACACCCCCCTGGTCGTCAGCGCTTGTTCGGGGAGGTTCAAAACTCGGTCGACTTTGCCAAGGCGTTCAACTGCCCTGTGGGCTCACCCATGAACCCGACCAAGAAATGTGGTTTGTGGGATTTACAAACTCGAAGTGATTCGAAGGAATGAAACCGAGTGGTGGTTTTGGGGTCACAAGAAAATCGTCGTAATCACAACCTTTGCAGTTTAAAAGTCATTGGAGTTCGGACCAAATTCTCCCATTGGTCAATCCGAAATTTCTTGTCGCTGATGAGCTACAATCCATTTTCGATTTTCTACCGGAAAGGGCGAAGTGGACATTAGCCAATCAGATGTCTCGGCGATTGAATGAACCATGCAAAATCGGGAAATTTGAAGAAAATCGACAATAAATCATCCAAAATTATGAATTTTGGGATACAAGGTTATTTTTTACTCCGGAACTCACGTACCGCCACTTTCCATCGTGACCTAGCCAATTCGTCGGGGCCATGCAGTGGAGAGCGCCAAATGCCTATGGATTTAAATCCGATGATGGTGCCGTGTGGTTCCCAAGAGTAAATAACTTGAAAAAATAATTGAGGTGGAGGATTTCAAAATGATGAATTGTGCGCCTATGATTGTATTCAAAAGTCAAGTTCAGCCTATGAATTCCGTAGAATGTAATTTTGAACTTGAGTCCGAGGTCAACATCGCGAAAACGCATGAATACTATTAATAATATCATCATTTTCAGACTTACACGACGACATCAAATTGGCTGAGAAGGCGTGATATGATTGACTCAAAATGAGTATTCACGACGGAGGATCTGTTTAATATGAATAAAGCACATACGGTACCTGCGTACGACCAGTCCAGGGCGTGACACGGATCTGTGATTTGCCGAAAGGACGGTGATTTGCCGAGCTGCACTACCCCCCAATAGGATTCAAGAATTGATATGATTGGATAAAATAAAAGTCTGCAACATATGACACCTTCGAAACTTTATGAGACGTTTTATTTGCCCTGATTCACACTCTTACACTTCATTTGTATTCGAACGATTGTTTGGCAACTACATACGTCGAGATAATTTGAACTTCGCCGGATATGGTCGATTAAATGGAGCTCAAAATCGGCAAATCACAGATCCGTCACGTTAGTATGGTTGGTGTGACTGATTCAACGTTTTCATCTTATGAGAAAGAGGAGCGCATCGACATAGTGACACGATCACTGATAGCGTAAATGACCATTATATGGTCACTTTTTCGGAGTAGTCACCATAGAATTCGCATATCCGCTCACAGGAAGGCTTATCAAACTTTGTGAAGTGATTCTTAACAACCGAACACAGAGTTTTCACTTCATAATCGATTACTGGTACTAAGTTTCAAGATGTACTCCTAATACAAAAATCCGACTTTCCAAACAAGTTAACTCTATTTTTGAAACCAGTTACCAGTATGATCACTTTTTAACGTGGAACTATGTATACCTCGATGCATAAAAATTGTGTGGATAGGGTATTCATTATCGTGAGGTAAAGAATAATTTTACAAGGTTAAGAATTTATAGAATATTTGGTGGGACAATTCCAACAAGTACAGAACTGCAGTCTCGGTTGCTTAACAGTAAATGCCTGTGATGCGCATAGCCATTGCGTCAGCGCCTGAAAGTACTGGGTAAGGAAAATGCTTAGGAATACGCTAGGTCTGTGAATTCTCCAATTTGCCACATGCCCAACAGAGCTTACTTTATCCGGATACGCTTTCATCCAAAAACCCAATCCAAGTGACTGGTCGCGGGCGGCCGAAGCCCTTGGCATGGAGAATTCTTCGTTGCCGCCCGACGAGCTCGCTTGTATGATTCTCCTGGAGACAAGAAGCTCACAAATCCCAATGCACAATGTGCACTCCTCATCCCTCACGGGAACTCCTCAAGACGACGTCAGACGCCTCGCTCCACCCATCACTCACGGGAACACCTCAAGTTGACGCCAGCCGCCGCGCTTTACCCATCCCTCACAGGAACCACACTTGCCGACATAGCATAAGAGGCCTAGTTCCTGCCTCCGCGCGCTCCTCATCCCTCACGGGAAATCCTCAATCCGACGCCAGCCGCCGTGCTCTACCCATCTCTCACGGGAACACCATCTGCCGACGACGCTCAAGGAAAATGTCCCAGTCGCCGTACACCAGCCAAGACTGAGGCAGCCCAGGACTCAAGTCCCAAGCGCCACTTCAGATCTATCGACCGAGGAAGCGACGTCCTCAGTGCTGTCTTAGCCTCCGCATCTCCATGTTGACGCTCCCATGATATGACCTCCATTTGCGCGACCGCATCCTCGATATGACGACCTGCCGGCGTGGCCACACACAAGGGCTTACCTGAAACCTCGATCCTTCTCATCTGCTCTCTTAGTGCTCAGCACCACATTCTCTTTACGCACGTAGCTTTGTCTGTATAAGCCAGTGCACAGTAATACAACAATAATATTAATACGCTAGGTCTGTGTCGTTTTCGACACCTGTGAGTTCCCTGACAAACATGCATACTATGACAATTAACAATTTTACAGTTACGTTATCTGCATAATTTTACAGTTACGTTATATGCGTGGCAGGGCAAGGAACTTTACCATTTTCAAGTCGATTGTCCGGATGATTAGACATGGTTAACCTGTGTAACAACGTATCGAGTTCATGCAGTATACTCTATTGGACGTTTCTAGTAAAAATATTACTGCGAGGTGATTGGCTCACATAGAGTGATCATAAATTGGTCATTTACGTTAGGACAAGCAATGCGTTTTTTCGCGTAGATAAGAGCTTTGGCGGCGACTGCAATAACGGTTCCCTTCCAGATACGCTGAAACGAAAGCGATTTCATGTCAAGGTAGTTTACTGGGACGGACGGAATGCAACGCCCACCTTGTCTTCGAGTTAGACGTGAATTCTACAATCTGATTGGTCATGTTACTTCGATGTTCGAAAATTAATGCAGCCTATCACAGACCGCTTTCAAAAATTTAATCATTTCAAGAGGTAATAATATTCTAAGGACACTCAAGAGCTTTCAAGCTACCGATTGAAGAGGTCATAAGTATTCAGAGGTGACGAAAAGCAATACTTCGATTGATAGCGCAGTGGTTAAACCAGTTGTGTGTCTTGAGTGAGCCCCAGGTTCGAGTTCCGGGCGCGTCGAACTTTTTTCTAAAAAAATTAACTCCACTCAATATCAGGAATTTTGTATAAAATAAAATGTATTTAAATTGCAATAATATATTTGTATTCAATGTACACGAAGTGCCTTGGCAAATGCCTGTCGAATAACGTCAACAGTGACCATATCCCATGCAGCAATGGCAAGCAACACCATGGTCATTCGCTTTTGACGAGCAGTTGGTGAGTACGGAACTTCATCGTTGTCCCCTTCAAGTTACTATTCGTACAACCACAAGTTATGTAGGTTGCGCTTCAACGGCGCCATCACCCCGACGTCAAGTGCTTGGTATACCGAGGTTGCGTTCGGCGACAGCGCACAAAGGTGGGAGCCAAGTTCTTCATGTATGATCTTGTACGACTCGTCATAGACATGGCACTCAAAGTTGTTCATTAGAACCACTGAAGGCTCTTCGATGGACTCGCTAAGGACATCACGCAGGTACTGTTTCCACACCACCGTATTATCCTGCATCGCTTAGCGATGGCCACGAGGAATCGTGGGGAACTCATTGGTTTCGATGCGCGCCCCGGGTACTCCCTTTATGATCAATAGCAGGGGCAGCTTTTGCCGTCCGCTCGCGCAGTTAGGACCACTGTCATGCGCATCGAATGCTTCTCGCCCGTTGAGATCTTGGCGCTGCCGCTATGATTAGCCCAAATGTGCGTAGGAGGGAGGTTGTAGTACATCCCTGCCTCATCGACGTTAAACACGCAGTAGTTTTCGTAGGACTAGTATTCCCGATGGAAGTCGCGGGCGAACTCATCGTCGACTTCAGTCAAGACCGCCTGCTTGAGCTTGTTCTTTGTCTGCCGCTGTCGAGAGAATCCATAGCGCTGGAAGAAGCGACGCAGCAGTCTGAGGAGTGAGTCGTATGCGACGTCTGACTTCTTCGTTGCAAGGTACGACATCAACCACGCCCTTTGGTTGATCTTGTTCCAGGCGATCATGTGAGTCGTCGTTAGAGCACATTCGTCATCTCTCATTTTGTTTATAAATCCTACTAAGCCTGGTGGGTCTGGGAACTCTTAGTATCCTCCACCTGGTTCGATCTTCTTGTTCTTCTTGTTGCCATCGAAGGAAAGGAGCTCAAAGCGCTGAGCATACCACGATCGTACAGTACGTCGTGGGACGCCAATTAGCTTCGCCACCTCTCAAGAATAGGAATTCTGCCAATAAGAGCATTGTATTTGGAAACATAAGTATCATTGGATGAAATCTATTCTGATACTCAAAAATCTTTGGTGGGCGTAGCAATCCGTCCGTCCCAGTAACGTTAGGGTTTTCACGCGTGCTTTTTGGGGTATTTACTCGTGTCGCGTATTTTGAACAATTTTGGGGGGTCAACGCGTGCTTGGGGATTTCACGCTTGCTGGGTGTACTTGCGCGTGCTTTCATCGACCGATTAACATGAAAAACGTGCTGCTGATCCGGAGCATGATTATAATGACAATGCATGTATCTTGCGTAGTAGCGCTAGTATCACAGACAGACATGACCTGCTCCAAAATATATTTTTAAAAAATAGGAATTACTTTTTTGTGTGGCCTATAGCAGCAGTTTAAAGTTTGATGTTAAATTTATAGATAATAAAACAAGTTCTATATAGCTTAGTATAATATGTATATTTTGTCTCTTTAATATTATTCCTAATAATCCCAGACAAAGTTCATATATAATACTACCCTGGTCCATAAAGATTGCCATGTTGTTTTTGACTTGGTTTCAGTATGTAATTTAGCAAATTTCTCAGAATTTGTCTCCATAAATACATATATTTATAGATACGTAGAGGTTTATACCCCAAAACCTGCCGCCACCATGTTTGGCCGCCGTCGCGCTAAGGCGAGAGGTCTGTACGTCAGAGCCAACGCCGAATGTGAGGGTGACCTTAATGAATGAACAATAGATCTATACTGTCACGTGCTATAACCGAGAGCAAGACTTCATAGGGTCGCCATGGCTATATATCAGGTGTAGTTATCTACTGCGACTCGACGCTGCATGGCACAACTAGCGAGTAGAACTTCATAGGGTCGCCATGGCTATATATCAGCATGCTGTAGTTATCTACTGCGACTCGACGCTGCATGGCACAACTAGCGAGTAGAACGTCTTTGGATCTCGCTAGTATGTGTAGTTGCTTCGCGTTGGGTTAGTCTATTGGGCATCGAGTGCATGAGATAGCAATGGCATTGAACGCTGACCGGATGATTTTCTCTTTAAATAATCGACCTCATGCTCTCTCAAGCTTGTATCTCCTGCAATAAAGTGTTTTCGGAGGAGCTCGAACTAGCCAATCAAAGAGGTGATCATTACCTTTCCAATGGAGAACTACCAAAAATACCTCAGATTTTTTTTTTGAATCTAAAATTTACTCAGACCAGCGAATTTAGCCAATCTGAGGTACCCTCAGATGTGCGAAGACCAAATTTGGGTCTTCGCAGATTTCAAGGTGTCTCAGAATCGCAGAAATCACTGGTGTCCAGACTGATGGCGTCAAAGGTCGGTGCCAAGACGGCAACTAAGTGCTCAGCACCCAACTGGGCGACGACGACGTCGATATCATGCTCGACTGTGTCCAATCACTTCTCCCACTCGGTCAACATGGGTGGGCCAAAGTCGCTCAACTGTTCAACGCCAGCCAGAGCGTTGCGTTTGCTCGAGACTGGAAAATGTGCAAGCGAAAGCTCACCTTCTTAAGGCGCACAAGAAACCAACAGGAGATCCAAACTGCCCGCCATTAGTCGCTCGTGCCAAACGGCTACAACGAGAGCTGGATTGTCGTGCTGTGGTGGAGACCATGGATGATAACGGCGAGATCAGTCAACATGAAGGCGGTGGTGACGACGAGATCAGGATGACTGGTCTTGGCGCTATCGCTCACCATGGCCCCTATATGCAGACGAGTGCTGTGAGTTCTGTGGAGCAGACTGCCATGGACGACGATGATGTATCGAACGTTTTTGTCCACGATGAGGAAGGATGCGATGGCGATGAAGAACCCACGGAAACCAAGCGTCCTCGTCGACCAAACCCAATTCAAGCTGAGCTACCAAATCGATCGGGGCTTTTCCATGACACAGTTCGCTTGCTGGGAAAGCGTTTTATTGTGGAAAAGTTTCCAAACCCTCCGTCGTCGATATCCTCGTCTGCTTCGTCGATGTCATTCGTTACAAGACGCCGTCGAAGCTTGGATACATTAATCGAACAAGCACAGAATGAACAACCTGCAGGCAACGACATTCCATCACTTGTGGTGATGTTTGAGGAGCGTGCCCAAAAACGGCAAGAAGAGCGGGACGCACGGGAGCAACAACGGGAAGATGAACGTCAACGCCTGCGCGATGAACGGGAAGAACGAGACTATCAACGCCAAATTGTTCGAGAAGAGCACGAGGAGATCTTACGTCGTGAAGACCATGAACGCTATAAAAAAAAAACGACGTGAGGACAACGAGAACAGAGTCCGCCAAGAACACAAATGGCTATGATGATGAAGTTATTTGGTGATAACTCTAAGCATCAAGAATAATAATAATATTTGTTTTTCAATTCAGAACAATTTGAAACTTGAAATGATCTGTGAATTCAAAATAAATCAAGCTTGAAATACATTCTTAATCTGGCTTATTCTTGTCTGGCGCACCCGATAGTTGTACAAACGGAAAATGTTCTGTAATCGGCGACCGCGCAACTTTGGATCGTAAGGAAATTATAAAAAAAAAATTTGGCGGTACACTTTGACCGCAGATCCCATTCCCCATTCGGCAGCCTGTTGTAACGATGTAATCGAATCGCTCATGGCCTGTAGTCCTAACCGACAATCCGGAGGTCCTCTTGCGAGATCACCTTGTTTAATCGGCGTCACGATTCTTCCAGCACATCGCCCACTGATTGGGAACGCGGAATCGGATACGACTTTCATTCCTGGAGCACAAAATCTGGGGTCTGCAAGTCGGTCCTGAAGGCCGCGACTCATCTCCCCATCATTCCAGGACCCCGGACAATTGTGGCGTCCCCAGATCATTGTGCCGTCAACATCGTAGCATAATACACCCGTCACGGAATGTAGCCAACCTAGCACACATATAGATAATATATTAACATCATAATTAAGATATATATCTATATATCTATATATATAATGATACCATTGTACTGAGAATTTTATAAATTCGACGACGACGTCCCGAACTGTGAGATTTTTCCCATCCACGAACGCAAAAACTCCCTTAAATCCCGTAACAAGCGGCTCGCGGGCTTCCGTTGCCTGAGCCCAAACCACTTGCTGATCAAACGTCGGCCAACGAATCGCTGCATCGGGCATCGCCTTCAACGCAAGAGACAACACTTTTTCAGCTTTTGCCAAAACGCGGGCATACGTCGCGGGTGGGACTGCAAATAACTCACACATTGTCTTTGCTTCGGTCGCATGAGACTAGAAATGCAACACCATTGCAAGCACGCAGTGTTTGAACTGTACCCGCGCAGGACGGCCACGACGACCAAAGCCAGACTGAACTGTGTAGTGCCGACTGAAAACGGCAAGGAGGTCGTCGAAGGTGTCGGGTGGAATTGAAACCGCTGCGATGAACGGCCTCGTGTGACGGCTGTAGTACTTCTTGTACCAAGGACTGTCAAGTTGGTCGTCTAAGAGCGCCGATGAATGTAGAAGGTTGCGTTCACGTAGCAAACATCTGATACGACACAAGAGCAAGAGTTGTATGATGCGGCGTCGTTTCGTCACCCCCGGTGCGCAGTAGAGCAGTAGCACGCTGGTAACCATAAGCATGACAAATATGGGATGAGCAAATAAAAACCAACGAAACGGCTCTATTGAATGTAAAATCTAAGTATATTTTTGGTGAGCTTGCAAAATAAATTCATGCTTACACTTCAGTCTCAGGAGGCTCTCAGACTTGAATAAAATCATGTCTGAGAAGGCAGTCTGAGGCAATTTTGGTAGTCCTCCAATGCACCAATCAGCTTAATTCAAGTCGTAAATTTAGATGAAAGGCACCACGCCAAAAACAATGTGACAATCATTAACCAGAGTGGTAACTTTTACTCTAATTCTAGAATTAAAACCAATGCTTAGTAAATTATATGTTTTTCATTTAAACAACCCATCGTTATCAGATGTAATTAAAATATTCCATTCTAACCTCTTTTATTTTAATTACTTCTGATATTGAAATATTAAATTGATTTAATAATATAATGAAATAATTATTTAAAATAATATTTGTATGTATATTTACATCGATGGTATTATAATTGCAGGTTGGTCTAGTAATTCCAAATATGCTTTTTTAGGGACCAGCTCTGAGTGATATCCTCAGAGGTGGGACCAGCCTCGTTCACGCAAACATGGGCTCGCCTCCCCACGGGCGTACTACACGACATGCAGCGGCCATCACTACTCATTTGTGGGCTTTGGAACTCAACTGCCAAAAGTATTCTATTTTCGTTTGAAAGTCAACCTGTCGAATTTACAGTTAATACGGTTACGTATTGTGGATTTTGCCCAGGCCAAACTAGTTTCCGCGACTTCCCGCAGCCTCCCGCATTCAAGACCCCGTTTTATCACACACTACATAACGAAACACACACGAACTTTCACGAAAACCACATGGAAAACACAGCTTCCAGCACCAGTATTCGATGGGGATGATCCCAAGGGAGTATATACAGTACATGTGTTTTACGCCACTGGCGTGTCATCAGGTACCCGTATGGTCGGTCGGCGCGGTCCTCATGCAGAAACAAGATGGCAATAACCGCGTTATTGCA